CACAAACACACACACACACACAGAGCTGCATCTCTGGATTTCTCTTGTTGTCGGCATGTAGAGAGAAAGAGACAGAGAGAGAGAGAGAGAGAGGATACTTTCTACAACTTGTCAGCTTTCGGAATTCTAGCAGACTTCCCTACAATTAACACATAACATAACATGCAACGCAAGCAATGTGTACAGAAGAGTTGCAATACAGATTCAAGGGATGGTTATGTCTACAGAGTGCACAGCAATATGAGTATGTTAGAATGGATCCCACATCCATGGCCAGTCGATCAGGTCCCTATATTCAGCCCTACCCCTTTTTAAATAAATCTCATGTAAAGCCTGTAGGGTCCGACATCTAAAGCTGTTTAGAACCCCTTCTCGTAGCCAAAAAGCCTTAAATCCTAGGCAACACATCCCGAAATCCTATGAGCCCTAAACCCGATACCAGTGCGGCCGTGTCCAGCAAGCCGCCTCCAGGATTAGCTCCTCTTTTTGTTTTCTGGGATTTGGGGTCCTTTGGTCTTTTAGGGCGGGTTAGGTTAGGTAAGGGTTTTGGGTTGTAGGGATTTTGGGCTTGAGGGCGTAGGCCTCGCAGTTGTTCAGAATACAGGCAAATTGGTAGTCATGCTTGTATTCATGGTACTAGCTTGTATTGGTGGGGAGTTGATCTTTCCGTTAATGCGGACCTCTATCCGGACAAGGGGTATCGCTAGCAGCCCATAAACTTTGCATTAGACAGTGAGTGAGGTTGTCTCTCTTTACCATCACCACGGCAACTCCATGTTCCTGGCGGGCACCGCCCGAGGGGGCTTGCAGATCTACACGTCACTGCCTTACCAGGCGAGGAATTGGACTTGCCGCGGTGAGATGCTAGGTTCAGGGCTGCGACTTGAAACTTCGACATCTCGGGAGTTTTTGAACTGCATTTAGCAGTGTTCAACGATCAGTTAAGTTTGCGGCCCTGTGCTATGCTCCACCCAAGACATGCAAGTAGAGTCAACTCCGAAAAGCCGAGGGTGTAGCAATGTAGCAGACCATGGCAAGTAAGCTTCGATGGTTCGATTGTGCCAAAAGCCAGACAGAGAACAATACTTTGCGTGCAGACAGGCAAGACAGAGCAAGACTGAGTCGGAGCACTTGTTACTAGGTGTTTGGTAATGGCCCGGGGTACACAGGCGTCCAGAGCATGCAGCAGCCGTGCGCGAGCACGGCAGGATAGAACTGCTGGCTGCTGAGAGGCCTAAAAACAGAAAGATCGAGATGCGAAGAGCGAGAGATGTCATCCACGTCTCCCGTAGTGTCCAAGTCTCAAGAGGAAGCTTAATCTTGCAACGACGTGCAGGACTTGGCATCTGCGAGATTGCGTGTAGCGGACTGGTGTCATGCCGCATGCCGAGCGCGTCTAGAGTCTCTACGAGTCAGTCTCTGGAGTCTAGAATCTAGAACTTGAGACAGATTTCGCACAGCCCAAAAATCCCTAACCCGTGAGAAGTGTGAAGCCCAAACTCTTGTTTTCGAGTGAGCATGCTGCTTGGCCTGGCACATTCGAGGCCTTTGGAGGCAGCGGCAAAGAAAGAGACGGAAAGAGCGAGAGAGAGAAAGCTCTAAACCCTACGTAACCCTGAGCCAGGGTTAGGAAGAGAAGCCTCAAAGCCGCAAAAAACCCGAAACAACCCAAGTGCCCTATTACTCCTCATGTGTTCTCTGTTCACTGTGGGCACAGTCCCAATCAAGGGGGACGCAAACAAAAGCATAAAACTGCGACCAGGGCAAGCCCAAGTTCGTCGAATTGGCGCTTCATGGCATGGCGTGCACGGCGATCTGCGTCTCCGTTGATGGGAGCCCTGTCTAAGCTCGGCAGATACGGAGTCGAGCTGGGGCGGACGATCATGGGTGTTGCTTGGGAGTTCCAGGTTTGGGGTTGTGTTCGGGAGGGGCTTCAGGTTTAGGGTTCAGCGGTTTAGGGTTCAGGTGTTTAGGATTGAGCTTTACAGCTTTTTTTTCAAAGTACACCTGCGAGATAGCTCCCGATACTTGGCTTTTGCGCACGAGTCGCCTCATCGCTTAAAGTGGTGGGTGGTCGGTATCGGTTGTTGCAAGTCTTTCCAGGTAGAGTCGCTGCAGACCGGATGCCAAAAGGATTGAGCTTTCAAGTCGATTGAAGGGCTGCCCCAAACCCAAACCGGGCAGCGTTCTTGCTAAGCGAGAGGCAGAAAAGCCGAAACCCTGAACCCTTGTGTTTGGGAGTTCGGAGCTCAGCATACAAGGTTCCTCAGACAGAAGAGATTCGTTATCTTACACTGAAATCTGTAGCACAGTGCTTGCAAGATAATATTGGGTATTCTGGAAGTTTAGATGCCTTAGATCCGCACCCGAAGCCTGGACCTAACGAGCCTGAGCCGTAGCCAACACCACAGCCCTAAGGCCTAAACTCTAAACCCCAAAGCCCTAAACCCTAAACACTAAACCAAGTGTTTCCTGCTTAGAAAGCAGTAAATGTCGAGTAATTTGTGATGATAAACCCTCCCTAAACCCTGAACCCTAAACCCTAAACCCTAAAAAAAAACTCTGCAAAACTTTCGGTGTTCCTTTTGCTGTGGCTGTGCTCTCTGACTCCCTGTTCCCCCCGGGACCATGTCTCAGGCCACTACGGTTCCCTTTGTGGCTCCATCCCCGCCCTCGCTGCCCGGGGAGCCTGCTGAGACAGCGTTGCAGCTTGATGTTGACATGCCTGATGAGGTGGATGCTGGTGATGATGGAGGTGGGGCCGGGGAAGTTGTTGACCCCCTACGGGTTCCGTCGCCCCCAGGGATGGGAGCTGGAAGCGGTGGGACGACAAATCTGAACGCTGAGATGAGCCGCGGGCGTACTACAGCTAGAAGGGACCCTGCTGTCCGAAGCCGACTTAAGCCCGCTCCCCCTACTCCCACAGAATCGGATCTTAATGAAGCTGCCATTGCAGCAGAAGCTTTGCTGGCCGCGATGACTCCGGGTCCTCTTAAGTCTGGGGAGGGTAGTGCAGACAGCGTGCGACACTTGAAGCCGTCCGAGCGTCCTGAGAAGAAACCTAAGCTGACG